CAATTTGGAACGATTTCTAAGACGGATTAAATCTCCGCTTACGCGTTAATAGCGCGAATTATATCGCGCGTTAATTGTCCCAAATTGATCAAAATGGCCAAAATGGCAATCTGTAAACCCTCATAACTTTTCAAAAAACTATCACTCGTGAAATTTTTTTTCAAATTTAAGCTCAAGACAACAATGGCTCCGAATGATTTCAAAAAATCTTGTCAAAAATGGCTAATTAGAGAGTCGAAATTTGTCTGAAGAAAAAAACCCACCCCGAGCACAAATATTCGGTTACTTTCGTATCGAAAGTCGGAACAACAAAACTACTCGCATCAAGGCAAAGCCCTGAAAATTCCGAATGCCTTTTGACGTTTTTGGAGCAGTAATAACATAAGCAACATAAAAAAATAAATGAACAAAATAAAATGAAAAACTTTTTTTCTAAAAATTAAAAAAATTTTCTGTAAAAACCATCCCCCCACACGCCATATAAAGTACAAAACAATAGATTTTGCTCCTTGTAACAAATCAATTATGGCAAAAAAGCTTTTTTCAATTAATTTGCAACAATTTCTAAGACGGATTAAAACTCCGCTTACACGTTAATAGCGCGATTTATATCGCGCGTTAATTGTCCCAAATTGGTCAAAATGGCCAAAATGGCAATCTTTAAACCCTCATAACTTTACGAAAAAGGATCACTGGTAAATTTTTTTTTCAAATTTAAGCTCAAGACAGCAATGGCTTCCGAATGATATGAAGAAATTCTGTCAAAAATGGCTAGTTAAAAAGTCGAAAGTTAAAAAGAAAAAAAACCCACCCCGAGCACAAATATTCCGTTACTTTCGTATCGAAAGTCGGAAAAACAAGACTGCTCGTATCAAAGCAACGATTTCTAACACGGATATAATCTCCGCTGATGCATTAATAGCGCGAAATATATAGCGCGTTAATTGTCCCAAATTTGGCAAATGGCTACCTTCAAATCCCGTAACTTTACAAAAAATGGTCACAGGCAGGCGCGGATCTAGGAATTTCTCGATATGGGGGCGGTGGGGGATTTTCAAAAATTGATTCTGTGAGCTCTCCGAAACCACTATAAAGACCCAAATTTGACCAAATTTTCTGCGCCGAAACCACTACAGAGACCCAAATTTGACCAAATTTTCTGCGCGTTTTTTCGGCGCGCGCTCCCCCCTCAAAATTAGTATAGATTGGCACCGAAGAAAAATTTTAAGGTCAGTCAGCCAAAAATGGATATCCAAAAATAGCACAAAAGGGGGACCCTTTGGGTCGGCTGGGGGTCGAATCCCTAAGGTGGGAAGAAGAGGCGTCCGCCCCCCGTACCCACCCCCTCCCCTAATTCCGCTACTGGTTACAGGTGAAATATATTTTTTTCAGATTTAAGCTCAGCAGGACAACAATACTTTTCGAAGGATTTTTAAAAAATTCTGTCAAAAATGTCTAGTTAAAAAGTCGAAATTTCTCTAAAGAAAAAAACATCCGAGCACAAATATTCCGTCATTTTCGTTACAAAAGTCAAAACAAAAATTATGTAGGAAGAAATTGAATCTTTTTGAGTTTCAATGAAAACCAATTCAAGGCATAAAATACTATGTGTTACGCATTAAAAAAAGCTCATATCTCGAAGAATAATGCTTTTATCTAGAAGAAAGCAGGAATTTTCCAAATTCTTGCTTTTCCGAAAGTCTTAAGCAGTTTTGTGGCGAAACAGATAAACAGACTCATTATGAAAACCATCAGAAAAAAATATTTGAAGTTTACTTCAATTAAAATTAAATGACTTTTTAGCCTGATTAGCTTGCCTGCTTGCTTACGCTTCAATTACTCTGGCGGTTGACGAGGGCTATCAAATCGGAATAAAGACTTTTTCGAGTCAACAGCTTTCTGATCAAATCACTTGAATGACTGAGAGCTTGATTTCTAATAATGTCAACTTTCTTTCAACCTGAGACCCGCTGTACTAGAAGCAATGACTGCAAATTGGATGGCAAAACTACTTGGTTTTAAAACTGTCAGGATCTGTTTTTTTTTTCAAACTGAAAAATTCTGTTTCAAAAAGTTTGCTGTGTTATCGAACGTCCTATTATTATCAGTCGATCTAGTATGTCAGCCTAATTTCTACCTTGCAATTTTTTTGTACTGCAGACAATTTTAACTGTAATTGATTTTGTGAAATACTTGTTGCAGTAATTTGTCAAATTACCAGCCGTGGTTTTTTTTTTAAATTTTCCGCTCTAAGACTCATTCGGCCTAAGAGTCGTCGGCTTAGTTTTCATCGGCTAAGAAACCAAAATTTGCGTCGCTTGAGAAGAAACTTATTTATTGCGTCCCTTCCCCTCCTCTCCAGAAACATAAAAAAAAGAGAGTTATAGATCTTTTTAGCTCAAAATGTGTTCATGACAACAATTTTTTTCCGGTTCAACGAGAGTTTAGTTGACGCAGCATAGTTATTTGTCAGTTTTTACTCACTGGGTTTCCTTTAATACTTTGTCTGTTAACTCGGATAGCTATGTTTGTGGGAAGCCGTTTCACTTCTGTAAAAAATAACTGGAATGATGATCGGCCTACAAGATTAGAGTTGATTAAATTTACAACGTTGAGACCTGTAGCTTTTTTTAAAACAAAAAATCCTATGAAAGATAATTTCGGCCCTGAGGATCCTAGGGGTCTGAATTCTTGCATGTTTGGGTAAAATATTTTGTAGTATATACCTCACAAATTTCGTACAGTCACTATTCATAGTTCTCATTTAGAGGGTGGAGACTTAGACCAATTGTATTGCCCCTGTAAAATTCTGCTGAATAAGATAAAACTAGTTTTTTGAGCTCAAGGATACCCTTTTTTGCTTTTTACTACCAAATCGAGAATATATTTTTGTTTGCTTTACTACTTGATCCGTTGGGTTGTGTTGAAGCTCCTATTCCTGTATTTAGTATAGCCACCAAATCAACATCTCTTTCAATAAATAGCGTGCGCCCAAAAGGAGGTTTTAGGGGTCAAAACGTTATAAAAACTAGGATAGCGTGTTACTGTGCAAGTAGCACAGAATGTTACGACCAGAGTATTTAAAAAACACATACACAAAAAAAAACTTTTTTTTTCAAATTAGGGTCGTTACTTCTGGGTGGTGTGATAAAAAGACCGAAAAAAATAGACACTTTTGACAACAATAGTGAAACACGCAAACTGGACGAAATGCAGATAGTTTTTGAATTTATGAAGTTTTGATTCCCAAAATGGCGTCATAAATCTCCAAAAACTAATTTAACTCGAGTAAAACTAAAACTAAGCATAATTAACTTATTGTAAACGTTTTATGTTTCTACTCGCTCAAAAATAGACGAAAAATCATAAACATTGAGCCATTTTTTCTTGACACTGGGAAACTTTCATTAAAATTTTTTTGGTTCGAATCACGACTGAACAGATGATGAGATATAACACTCAACCCAGTCCAATGATTGTTTGTGGTACCTAAATTTGCGTTGAAAACAAGAAAAAAGAAAAAAACTAAAACACGCCCGAATACAAAGTTCTTCCCTATTTTCAATGGTCGGAACAAAACACATTTTCAACACAACTCTATAAATTGGTTGAACATATTCTAATAATTGTTGGAACAGAACTATAGAAATCAATTCAGTCACTTTCAAAGATTTTGATTTTGTTTCAATTTTCTTTCATTTGCTTGTTTAACTTTCAATCAATTTTTTAAACTGGTCATTTTTGAAAATAATGCGCTATAAAATTAAAATTGATACAAAAAGTAGTAGAAAACCTGAAATAACGCGCTAAGTGAATTAAAAGTTTATTAATCAGTTGATTTCTATATTTCCCGGTAGCTTAGGTAAAACTACGAACAAAAAAATTCAACTCCATTTTTCAGTAAGCCATTTTTTTCAAACACTCATTTCTAGCCCTGAATATCCATTACAAAAAATTTTTAATATGTAAGAAGAAAAATATATGGATTTCCTCTAGGCGAGTGTGTTACCTGGCACCTGCCTAGAAGATGTTTTTCAGATGCGGTTTTTGTGGAAAAAGCGCGCCAATTTCAAAATATTTATAAGTCAGATCAAATTCAGTTTCCGAGGTTCCCAAAAAATAATTGGACCCCATTACCCCCAATTTCCGAAAATTTTTCAACTGCAGTTAAATTATTACAAAAACCAGGTCAAATATACTTCATCTACCAAATGTTCGACTAACGGAAACTTAAAAAAGTGTACTATTTTTTATTTTATTATTTTTTCAAAGCATCACTCAATTTCTAACAGTTGGGATGATGAACTGTCTTAGTTTTCTGACGGCTGCATTTTTAGTTTTTGGCGCGGTACGCAATTGGTCTTTATTTCAACCAAAAAATACGTTTCTGAACAAAGCATAATTTCATCAAAAGGCAGAGAAATGAAGCTCGAATGGCTTATTGAGCTGCTTGTTTGGTTATTGCTTATTGAGTTTTTGAATAGCTTTTTTGTAAATCTTGTTAGGTAAAATTATTAAACAAAACCGCACCTGTCCTGACTTGAAGGTTGTTTTTTTTAAATAGAAAAACAGTACAAAAATTTCGGTGAACGCTAGATAGACTACTGAAAACAGTAGGATAATAAAACTGACGGCTTTCTGGCAAAAGAAGATTTTTTTGCTGTTTTACATTGTGATAGAAACTGGAAACAAAGTTTCAATTATAAGAAATTAAAACTCAAAATAGTTATTTTTTCTTTGTTCGAGAGAAAACAGTTCAGGCATCATTCAAGTTTAAAATTCTCCAACCAAAAGCATACTTAAAAATTAATATCAATTACTGATTATCAATTCTTGCACTACATTGAGCAAAAAGTTTGCATACCAAAAATATAAAAACTCATCTGTTTGTATTTAACATTATTTTGTGTTTAATTATTTCGGCATTTAATTTGAAACCATGGTGCTACAGCTTACTGACAAATAAAATGAAATGCTTGGCCAACTGCCATCTCGATATTTTTTATCTCCAGCTCCAATAACTATCAATTATTTGCAGAAGCAGATGTCCTTCAAGTTTTTTGTTTGACTTTTTTTAACTTTATTTCTGCCAATTGAACATTTGCCGTTTGACTTTTATGCGAGTTGAGCATGCCAGGTGATGACACTATAGACGTGGACATGGGTGATGTCAATGGATCCGATGGGGCCAGCACCCCGTCCCCCTCCCCCTCCCCTCGGTAAGTTCTCAAAGCCGAAAACTAGAAAATCGATCGTGAAGATTTCTTCTTTTGCAAAATGATAAATTAATTTTTTCAATGGAACTTATTTCTCTTTCCTTCTAGACTTGTATTCATCATCCAGTTTTTTATCGATAGGTCACCTATGTAACAGGCAACCTTTGCACTAGGACCATTTTCCGTGCAAAATAATCAACTTTTTCCTAGAAACTTCGTATGGAGTCGAACAAAGGATGTTAAAACCATTTCTGTCGTGACTCGAACTGAATGAAAAATTACAAAACGAGAGATCCCAAAAAAATAAACGATTCCCAATTGTTGCTTTTTGATTATATTGCAATTGAAGATACTATTCACGGTATAAACTTTTAGACTAAATTTTGAGGCTAATCATAGTTGAACTGCGCGGCAAAATGATAAAAAATCGAAACCTTGAAGCTGTGTGCTACTTGCACAATTGATTGCTTTGTTTTGATTCTCGAAAGTTTTCTAGATAAATTCCTTGCAAGTTCAAAACAAAAACTCAAAATAAAAATAATTCGGAGACTGTTCAGGCCGAGTGATGCGAGTAGTCAGCCTAGGGGCAGTGTATCTGGCCCCTCCACCTCCTCGGCCGCAGCACCCTCCCCCGCCACAGATGTGTCTGCCATAAACATCGCTCAGAAGTTCGTGGAAGAGACCAGTTCCCAGAAGCCAAGTGGCAAAACCGAGTTCCTACAGAAGGTATATGTTATCTCAACTCATCATTTCTCAGTCTAACTAACTAACTAATTATTATTATTTTTCAAATATCACTAAAATGTTAACTAATTTCATGAATGCGGATTTGATAAATGGTAATATTTTGGTTCTTTTATGGGCATTCGAAAAAATTTAAAGAAAAACAATTTGAAGAAATCATATTAGAAAATGTTTATAGATCAAGCACCATCTCAATCGAAATCAATTCATGAAAAAATTTCAAAACATATTAAAAAAAACATAGGTAAATGTTCAACTTTAAGCTGGATATAAATAAGATCATTGTGTAATCTTTGTTGTTCTTCATTTCTTACATGTCAAGAATATGCACCTCTAAAAAGTTCTTATTCATTAGCTCTGTATATGTGAATGTTGCACCAAGAAGCAGACCCCCTCTTCTCTTAGAACAGGGAGGGGAACGAGTTATACAGATCCAATAAATTTAAACATGTTGTTTTGCATAGGTGAGGCAGGCAATTTTAAAGCGTGGCGAAGTGGACAGTCTGGAGAGTAGGTTCACGAATGCATGCAAACAGGGGGATCTGAAGACAGTGGACGAGATGCTGTCCAAGCCAGGCAGGAGATTTGACATCAACCACAGAAACCAGAGAGGTTGCTTTATTTTTTCAATTCCAATAAAAGTCCAGAGAAAAACATTTAAATTCCTCAAGAGATTTTTGAACAATTGTTTTATTTTTAACAGTCTATTGTTAACAATGCGTTTAATACTTTTTGATTGTCGAGTACTGAAGGCAAAAGGAAACTCAATCGGACGATTAAACCTCCTTACCAACGTCTAGAAGACCAACACAACTTTCAATTTAAAAAAAAATCCGGTTTGCAAAATCATCTGACGGCTTACATGTCCGTCCTGGTAGAATTCGTCAGCCTGCACAATATTTCAGAACTACTCTCACTAAAAGTTGTAATCAACATTTCTCAATTTTAAAAATTGTTACTGATGCTAAATCTATGAGCTGTGCTAGCTGACTGTTTTAGACCTTCAAAAAATTATGCGATTCTGCAGATTATCCTTTGCTGCTATGTATGGACGCTTCAGGCATACTCCGTAGTTTTACTATCCTTATTCAGAGTCTCATTAGTTTCACTGAATTGCTCTTCTGTTTAATCGATTCTGCTTCTTTATTTTGTTACTATCAGAATCTTTAATCCTGATTAATTTTTGCATCCATTCTCATGCTACTGACACGGTATGGCCACTTTTAAACCTACCCTTAAATCGATTCCATTTATTTATACTGCTACTCTGATAGTAGATATAGCCGCTTTCGGCCTACAAATAAATTTCAGTATCAACCCTTTTTGTGTAATTCCCCATCATATTTCTGCCGCTGCCTTTAATTTATTTCAATGTCAAAAGTTTTTGGCTGATTTCATCATATTTTATCCATGATGCTTTACTTTTGCTTTGCTCTCTCGGTCAATGAACGCTTCAGGTTCTGTCCAACTTTCAATAGGCGATTCAGTAGAGAATCTTATGACGACAATCAGAAACACCGTGGCCGCTTAAGGCTCCACACGGCAAATTCGCACGACTCTCTCAGTATCGAGAATGAGGGATTTACCCGGTCGATCTCCACTATCTGCAGCTTTAGCAAAAAAATCACAACCATGCGCTTAGTTGCACTTGGATTTGTAAATATATTTGTTGCTGACCTTTCATTCATCTTCAAAATCTGAAGCTATAGTGGGAAACACCGTTTTGACTTACGAAAGTCAATAACTGAAAACGTGTCAGTATATCTGTTAAAACCTATACCCGGTGCTCGGTCCAGTAAAATACCTGGAGACGAAAAAAAATCATTTTAAGCTTTTTGAAAAGAAAATGGCGTCTGTTCAGGTTTCACAGCTCTGACATATGCGATTCGCAATGAACAGGAAGATATCTTGACTAGACTGTTGCAGGAGAAGGACATCAACCTGTCTGACTCTCTGCACTGTGCAGTCAAGGCAGGCAACCAGAGTGCAGCTCTCAGTCTACTCAGGAGGGGGGCAGACCCCAACCAGGTATTAATTGTACTCTCACTAATCATAATCATAATAATCGTAATAATAATAATAATAATAATAATAATAATCCTAATAAAAATATAAATAATCATATATTAATGGATGTTTCTGCGATTCGAAGAGGGTCTTTGAAAGGCTATCCAGCCTGTCTAAGCATATTCCCGCTCCTTGCTGCTAAAATTAACATTTTCCCATCCAGTGAAATTGTGTGAAAACTTTTATCCAGATTGCCAAGACAGCAGTGTATCCAAAAGGCAGCTCTCCTCTCCTACTCGCGTGCCACCGGAACGACGTCGACATCATCCAGCTGCTTCTGGACTACAAGTCGAACAAACTGGAGATGCCCTCTATCGATGGGAGTTCCCTGGCTCAGTCCAGATACAGATTGGATTTGATGAGGGCATTGACTTGTCCCTCGTATGTGGTGTTGACCTCAGAGGATCCGGTCATGCAGGCGTTCGAGATGTCACACATGTGTAGATGGCTTATGGTTAGACTCCACGAAAAGTTTAAGAACCATAATTGTTTGTAATATATTGTTCGTTACAACAAAGATGTGGCAAAGCTTTGGATTCGGGTGAGGTTTTCACGTAATTTAAGGTAAAAGGTGCGACACAAATACTGTTGATTTAAAATATCCAGACAAAACGTGTAAATTTAAAAAATTTTATACGCGTTTTCTCAAATTGGGTTGACATTTTTGGCTTTTTTGGCTTTTTTTGGCTTTTTAATCAATCAAAACTTACGCCACAACTACACCACAATTGCACAATAAATTGCTCCTGAAAATTTTGTAAAAATTTTTAGATTTTTTGTTCGTGTCACTTTTTGAGCAGAGGTCGGAAACCAAACAGGTCGACCTTTAAAAAGGTCATGAACAATTATGCGATTGAGCATGTTTTTTTTTCTCTAGGCAGGGGAAGTTGAGTTCGCGGGCGAGTACAGTGAACTAGAAGAGAGGTGTGAGAAACTGGCGGCTGATTTGGTCAACTCAGTGGAGAACAGTGAGGACATCATGGTGCTGCTGAGTCTGAAGAAGAAGAGGAACTCGAACAAGACGCAGGTGGGGGAGCCACTCTGCAGACTACACTACGCACTCGAACACAACCACAAACTGGTCAGTTCAATCGAGGAGGCCAGTATGCGTTTTATGTAATAACATAAAACGCATACACGCTTTCTTGAATAGATTGCATGAGCATTCACAAACTTAAATGGTAATTTGAGAAGACCCTGCTGATTTTGTATGTTAATTTAACAAGATCTTGCCCGGTTTTGCCAAAATTCTGCAAGGTTGGATCACTGCGCCCTCGCATGAAACTATAGTTTTATGCGGGGGCCCAGTGATCCAATCTTGGAGAATCTTACCGAAGCCAGGCAAGATCATGCAGGATCTAGCGAAATTAACATGTTAGTTTGTGCATGATCATGCTATATACTCAAGACTCATGCAGAAATGGTTTCGGCTTTATTGGTTATGGTGGGATTTTTGATCATTTGATCCTGCGGTATCCTGCGATTTGACTATTTGCTCCTGTACTTCATTTAACTTTTGATACAGAACTCTACAAAATTCTGTCATTTTGACATTGTTGGATGCCTTGTTAATAATGATTAAATGCGCAGCTATTCAGAAAATTGCTTAGATTAGTGAAAATAAACAGACATCTTAAAAAACGTTTGCTAGTCATTGACATCTAATGCGCGAGTTTTTGAGTACCATCAAACACGGCATTTTGGAGCATCTTTTTAAACCCAACTATCTGCCAATGCAGATGAGTCCAATTTGCATAACTTCATTTTTGTCCTCTTTTCTTTGCTCTAAACTATATAAAGGATTTTGAGACATTAGTCATTTGAATCTCGCCCATCTTGTTTCTCGTTTCAGTTCGTGGCCCATGCGCACTGTCAGCAGGCCCTATCGGACAAGTTCTTCCAGGGCTTCAAGAACTGGCGCCACAAGACCTCAGGGGAGAAACTGGCCATCAGTGGCCTCCTATTCATCCTCAGCCCCGTCTGGCTAGTCGTCTATGGTCAGTGTCCAAATGTTTTAAGACTTGGTTTGTTTTTTTTTCTGCAGTATTTTATCACATTTTGTCTTTTTGCATCTGAAGTATTATGTACTCGTTATTCGTTAATGTTTCAACTGTTTAAAAGTACACGCCACAGACAATATTAAAGCTTTTTGAAGTTTAGTATTTCTGCTCAAATATATGAGGTTAAAAGTCGGATAAGCCATGACGGTTCAAGGTACCCTACCCCCTACTAGACTGGACTACTACATTGAGTTCCCCTTGATGAAGGCGGTGGCCAACTTCGCCTGCTATGTCGTCTTCCTCACCATGCTCATAACCATGCAGATCAACATCCAGTCAGACCAGAGCCTACAGCCACGTAAATAGCTCTTTATTCTCATTCCCGGGCTGAGGTGCTCGATTCATGATTCGACCGAAACGGTCGAACGGACTCCGATCTTCGTCGCAAATTCAGACTGTCGAACGAAGACTTTTGTCGAACCACGTCGAATCATGGGTCGAACAGGGTCAAATGATGAGTCGAACAGGGTCGAATCATGTGTCTAACAGGGTCGAATCATGAGTGGAACAGGGTCGAGTTATGGGTCAAACAAGGTCGAATCATGAATTGAACAGGGTCGAATCATGGGTCAAACGGGGTCGAATCATGGGTCGAACGGTGTCGAATCATGAAGCGAACGGTGTCGAACCATGGGTCGAACGGGGTCGAGTCATATGTCGAACGGGGTCGACTCATGAAGTGAACAGGGTCGAATCATGGGTCGAACGGGGTCGAATCATGGGTCGAACGGGGTCGAGTCGTATGTCGAACGGTGTCGAATCATGGGTCAAACGGGGTCGAACGGGGTCGAGTCGTATGTCGAACGGTGTCGAATCATGAAGTGAACAGGGTCGAATCATGGGTCAAACGGGGTCGAATCATGGGTCGAGTGGTGTCGAATCATGAAGCGAACGGCGTCGAACCATGGGTCGAATGGGGTCGAGTCATATGTCGAACAGGGTCGAATCATGGGTCGAGCGGGGTCAAATCTTGGGTCGAACGGGGTCGAACAGGGTTAAATCATTAGTCGAAAGGGTCAATCATGAATTGCATAGGGTCGAATGATCGAATGTGAGCGGAATTAGAGAAAAATTGAGTTTTGTCAGATGTTTTTTGCTTACAAGACTGTAAACAGAGGCAAATTGCAAAAACTAATTGTGACATTTTCTGTTATACTTTTCTGCTGCCCAGGCTAAGGTTTTTGACACATGATTCGACACAAACGGTCAAATGATGTCCGAATTTCATCGTGAATTAGGAAGGTTCGAATAATTCCTGGTAGAAGCGAAAACTTTGAGATAAAGCCGAACAAAGTCCGGTAAAGTCAGAGAAAGTCGAACAAAGTCCGGTAAAGTCAAACAAAGTCGAGAACCGACATCGTTCGGCTCAAAAAGTTGAAATCGGACACCATTCGACTGAAAAAGTCGAAAACAGACATCGTTTGACCGTTTCGGTCGAATCACGAGTCGAGCACCTCAGCCCGGGTTTTCAAAAAAACTGATATTCACTCATTGTTTCAATCATTTGAGCTTTTTCAATGATGTTCACTTTTTGGCTTCCTGGTTTTGGTTAATTTTTCCATGTCTTCTTAATGAAATTTATTACTCTTCCTCTAGGCTCGTTGTCAATATTTTCATATTTAGTTTTTATGCAAGCTTTGATGATGGTTCGAATTTTATTTGTATTTTAATCGTGTTTCTGTTTTGGTCAAACTTTGCCTTTATGTGGAGGTTTTTTCTATCCATAGAATCAAAGACCCAAACACCCCCTGAGACCGTTTTCTGAGCCAATCTTTCCAATCAAGTTTCTATGAAAAAATCAGCAATGCATTCAGCTCAGTTTTCTTGAGTTTTTTCGGTTTATTCTTTTTTGGTTGAAACTATATCGACTGAGTTTCCACATTTTTGATGTTTGCTGTTACCACCGGCGCAAGCAACTGGTCCAATTTTTCACAACCGTTTTAATTTTACGACTGGTGAAATTTTTCGGCGCGCGCTCCCCCCTCAAAATTAATATATATTTGAGTGGCGCATTTAGAAAAATTTTAGGGTCTGTCATTAAAAATTGATATCCCAAAATAGTACAAGGGGGTGACCTTATGGGTCGGCAAGGGGTCGAATCCTTGAAGAGAGAGCGTCCACTCCCCCCCCCCCCCCAAAAAAAAAAAATCCGCTCCTGGGTACCACAAATAATCATTGGACTGGTTTGAGTGATATATCATATTAAGGCTGTTTCAGTCGTGATTCAAAAAATATTTAAAAATTTCTATAAAAATTTTCCCAGCTCGAAAGAAATCAGTTTGAAGTTTTTGATTTTTCGTCTAATTTCGAGCAAGTAAAGCGATCGAGTAACAATCGTTATATGAAAATTTACTTTTGTATAGACTTTTAGGCTATAAAAACTTACTATGTATAGAACTAGTTTTGGAGGTATAAATAATTGCTTACTTGACAACAGTTTTATAAAAAAAATTTAAAACTTTTTGTGCAGAAAAATAAGAAAAAACTTTTTTTTAAATTTTGATTTTTTTGTTTTTGTTTGTCGTTCTTTTTCTCAGAGACAAATGTTGTCGATAATGTTTAACTCACTAGGTTTACACGCGGCTGTATAGTTCTCAAATCACACCACGCACAAAAACCGACACCAATTTTCTCTCATATTTTAGCAGAAGCCGGTTATGTATTTTCTATTAAAATTGGTTAAGATTTTGGAGAAATTAGGAGAAATAATTAATTTGTTTTCGAAACAACAAACAGATTAGCTAACTATTTAATGAAGCCTCTTTATGTTTTAGAAGACGCGGAGTCGGAGTACCAGGAGATCCTGGAGCAGTTCCAGTATGGCAGCAGCATCGAATGGCAGGAGGTGTTTGTGCTACTCTGGATCGCAGGTCCGAATAACCTTTTTCCTTTATATCCTCCTTCACTTATAATTTGCTTAAAAAAAACTAAAAACTGGAGGTCGCAGCGATTTCAAAACCGTTCAAAATTTCGTGGGCGTTTTTGTCGAACAAATTGATTTTCCGAGCCTTCAAAACAGTCATTAGACCCTATTTTTTTTTCCAAATTACAAGTGTTTCTCATTTTTGAAGCCTCCAATTCTAGGCAAGATCTGGATAGAGGTGAGTGAGTTGCGGGTGGTGGGACTGAAGAGCTATGTGCGGGACTACTGGCACCTCATGGACTTTGGCATGAACTCCCTCTTCGCAGTCGCATTCCTCACCCGATTCATCGACACATACTCGGTATAAAATGGCTCAACTGATTATTATTATCTCATATCAAAATGGGCTCAAACTCTGCCGCAAATTTTTTTCAAAGCAACAACAAGAAGCGTAGAATTGGAAAATACAAAGGGCATTTTTTATTTTCGATGAGACTGAATGGTGTAATGAACAATGAATGTTGCTTAACTTTTTTCGAGAAATTAATTCTACAAAAAGTGACAGAAAAATATTTCCCTGGGGAAAATTCTCTATTTTTGCTAGGACGTGGCCTTCGTGTTCGAAATAGCGGAGAAGCAGCCATCGATTGTCTACATCTACAAAGTGGGCAACGAGACCCGACAGGTATGACTCACACGTTACAAAGTATAAATAAAAATATCACGATATTATGTCTATGGTGTTTATTATATTGGAAAGGAAAAATCTTTAAATCAAGGGTGGGTCTAGGTGAGTTCGGGCGGAAAATCAAAATTTTCGATTTTTTTTGCGAAACTTTTTTGGGTCCTGAGGGGGTCGATGCTACAAACGTGGAGCTCATAGATGCGAAACTTGTGCGCAACTTGAGGAAAAAGTCAGCCCATTAAAAAAAGTCAAACTACTGAGCCCCCTTGGTGTCTCTCCTGTCCCCCATTTCGGCCGACAGACAACAAAATTGTAAGCTAAAATTTAGAGGGGGCATGCGCCGATGCAACTTTTTCAGTCAAACCACATTCGAAAAAAGTCGACAAAACTTATGCCAGATATGTAAATTCCATATATTCAATCTCTCAGGAAGGGAGAGGCTTTCCTAAACTTCATAAATTTTGACGACCTTTTTCGACTGAGGTTTGATTTAAAAAGTTGCATCGGCGAGCGCCTCCTCTAAATTTACGCGTACATTGTTGTTGTTGTCGGCCAAAATGGGGGACACAAAAGACATGAAAGACATCAAAACTTAAATGAAAAACTCATATTTATTGTTTCCTGACTGAAACAAACCCATTTGAAACTTTTTTAAGTTTTTCCACCATCCGAAGAAAATGACGGAACATTAGTGCTCAGGTGGTTCTTCTCCAAATGAATTTCAAATATTTTGTTGATATTTTTACCATCTGAAAAACATCGATATGCTAGGCTAAGAAATTTAGGAATTACTTTTAGTAGAGATAAGCAATCTGGAAATAATGGGAGTTTAAACGTTGACATTTGAATAATTTGGAATAGTTAGTTAGAGTTGTTTTCCATCAACACATAACCTAGGTTGTAGAAAAAATTTGGCTCAGAAATTATTCTAATTTGAAATAAGATTGCTCATTTTCGGCCGGACTCCAGAATGATCGACCGCCTGTTAAGGTATCTGTTTTTTTTTGCTCAAAAATCCAAAACAGGACTGCACTAATTGTTTTCAGTTAAAATGTTTTCGTTTTCCAAAAGAATGGCCAAATTTAGATATTGAAAGTGCGATTGTGGTTGCTATGTAGAGGGAGTTTGTATGCTTTCGTTCTGCTGTGTATGTTCAATTTTTTTTGTTGACAGTTCCTGAACGTTAGATTTGATTGCGTCAGCTCATTTTTCCAGTAAAATTTTTTGATTTATTAAACTCATAATAAAACTTTTTGATAATTTAGTTTAAAAACCTGTAGAAGTTTTTCAAATTATTGGAGTTTTCTTGTTTTGAGTTCATTTTTTCATTTTGTCTAAAAAAATTGGAAAAATTCTGAGCTGGATTAAATCGCCATTCATGCTTCAGCATAACAAAATATATCGCGCCATATTTATCTCTATTTGATTGATTATCGTCAAAGTTGTCACAAGTTCAAATCATTATAACTTTGCAAAGCATTTCACAATTGAATTATTTTAAAAAACTAGTAAAACCGATTTTCTATTTTTGGATTTCAGAAAGATTATTTTGCGGTAGTATAAAATTGATAAATACGCGCATTATTGATCTCAATTCGCCAGAGTTGGCAACTGGCAACTCCCATAACTTCGAAAAAAATCACGGGAAAATTAATCTCTTGAGGGGATCAGAGCATTTATATCAGAATCAGGGCATCATTATTGTTCAGACTGTGTAAAATTAATCAGTTGAAATTTGCTAGTTCAAAATCGTAAACTAGTCTGGAGAAAGTATTTGCTAAACTTATATATTTGAACATATTTAAGTTGCTCATGGGGGAAATTTTTGGAGAAAAATATATATTTTTTAGATTTCTGCCTTTTTTACGATTTCTATCTTTTTTTCTCTGTTTCTAATTATTTCACATCAGTTTTTTGAGTCTCTTCGTCCCAAATTGCTAGAATAAAGTTAATTTAAAAATTTTGGATTATATCCGGCGTGACATTGATCAGGGTATCTAGCCTAGAGAATCTAGTCCGCGAGTGGTCAAAAATCAAATCATTTTTGTACTGTTCCGATCCTGAATGTTTGACAATTTTTGTCCATTTTTTTCACTGTAAGGCTTACAAAAAGTGTGTGGTTGCTTTTAGAGCCCTGAATCCTTGGAGAGAACGCCAACATTCAGCTGGCATCTTGACAACCCCCTGCTAGTGTACCAGTCTGTGATGGGGGTGGGGAGCCTACTTGCCTTTCTGCGCATCATGTGGTGGTTCAGAGCCAGTCAGCAACTGGGCAAGCTGCAGATGATGTTGGGTGCTTCTTTTGAGGAGATATTCAAGGTTATCCTTTGAGATATTCCTTTGAGAAATTTACCTTTGGGACATTATTTCCAAACATTTTTGTTGCTCATTTGGGTATTTTTCCTGGCTGAGTCTTGCTGCCTAAATGAAGACAACGAGGATGAAACATGATGGCATTGAAACACCGACCTTCTGTGTGAGAAGCGCATACCTTAGCCACTTAACCATTGCTTGTTCTAGTTCTCGTTCCTCTACATCCTGATCTACCTGGCCTTTGCTGGTGCCATCAATGCCGTCATCTGGCGCTTCCTCTATCTGGCCTCCCTCACATGCAAAGTGGAGGATCCAGTCGTCCCCTGTGATGATGAACTGGCCAATAGAGTGAGTGGGACAGAGTTTCCATTTCTCACGTAAGTTTTTTTACTTAAAATTGTTACGTAAACTCAAAAAAAATTTGCTCACGTTTGATTTATTACGTTCTAGTTTCTTTTATTGCGTAATATAGTGTTTTATTGCGTAATATAGAGTTATTAGAGTTAACGAAAGCCAAAAAATGTTTTTTTTTAAATAGCTGAGCTACACTTTTTTCTTTTGAAGAGATCAAGATCTATTTTAAATATCAACAATCCGAACTCATCCGAAAATTTTATTTTTACAAAATTCATTAACTTAAGTTGACTTATATGACATGTAACCAGAGGCGGATCTAGGATTTTCTCGAGGAGGGGGGGGGGGGGATTGGATTTTCAAAAAAGACTGATTTTCCGAGCTCTCTCAAAGCACTGAAGAGACCCTGTTTTGACCAAATTTTCTGAACCGCAGGCAAAATTTTTTGAAAAAACGAGCCAATAAAAGCGTTTTTAGGCACTTTTTTGAAAATTTGGACAAAAAAATTGCGTTTTTTTTTTTGGTGCGCGCTCCCCTTTCAAAATTAGTATATATTGGCGCCAAAGGCGCCTTTTGAAAAATTTTAGGGTCGGCCAGCCAAAAACGGATATCTCAAAATAAGACAAAGGGGGACCATTTGGGTCGGCAGGTGGTCGAATCCCTGAGGAAAAAGAAGGCGTCCGCCCCCCCCCCCCCCCTCCCCCCGGCCATCCCCCTAAATCCGCCCCTGCATGTGACATAACTTGCATTTCAAGTTAAATTTTGTAATTTTTCTTTCAAAGCCTCCAAAAATTTTTGTTTCTCCCAAAAAAACTCATATTAACGCGTAAAGTATTTAGCAGGTACGTGGTTGTCATTTTTGTTACCTTCAGATCTTGTACTGAGTAAGCAAGCCTACTGTTGTTGAAGTCAATGGCGCTGTTTAGGCTGTTTGGGTGCATGTACCAGCTGTACTGGACCATTTTCGGCTACTCGAGCATCGCCTATTTGGACAAGATATTCGACTCGTGGACCCTCAATGAACTAGTGTCGGCTGCTCTCTTCATAGCCTATAACTTCATTGCGGTCGTTATTCTCCTAAATGTGCTCATAGGTCAGTTGGACGAAAAAAAACATTAACAGAATATGACTAAATGAGGGACAAGGAGGTAGTATTCCTTTGGTTATACTGGCAGTTACTTGAAAGACCACAAAAATACCGACTCGTATAGTTTTCTTAGAAACCGAGAACCTGGAAAAAGGTCAGGGGCAGATCTAAGATTTTCTCGATAGGGTGCGGATTTTCCAATCGATAATTTTGTTGACTTTTTCACGTTGACTAAAAAAAAATTTCCGAGGTCTTGCAACTTACTACACTATAAATGCCCTATCCTGTTAAAAGTTTCTGCGCTGCAGGCACATTTTGAAGAAAAAAAACAAGACAAAAATCCGTCTTTTGGGCGCTCCACCTCTAAGTTAGTATTATTTTTGAAGGCTGCTCTAGAACATTTTCAAGGGTCCCTCGGCCGAAAAGGAGCGCCGTAATATAGTACTAAAGGGGTTCATGTTTGTTCTGAGGGTGGAAGGAGTCATTTTTTGGGTACGTGCTCGGGGGTGGGCAAGGAAAATTTTTAGACGGGAGAGATCTAGTCGGAGTATTCTTGATTGCAAGGGCCAATTTTTTCAGCCTTTTTCTGCTCTTATACATAGTAGCCCCTCAGCAAATTATAGCCCCGATAGAAAAAATCTATTATGGGGGTGGCTATTATGATGGTCTGCCCTTTCAGTGATGTGGATAAAAAATTTTATTCAGGAATGATCACTAAAACGTTGGATAACATCGAGGTGAGAAATTAGATCTATTCTTAGCACTTTGAATGTCTTAGATTTCGGCACATAATTAGATTAGAGCTGAACGGATAGATTTCCGTTGATTTTGTAACTCTCCGTTCGTCTAACAGAGGTTTTTAATGGCAAAAAAAACAAATAGATGTAAAAGTGTAAAAATGAAATAATGCACAAAAATCTTTTCGAGGGTTTCTAGGATTACTTATGAAACAGATGTGTTTAGTCCAACATAGACATTGAGTGGAAGTTCGTGCGCAGTCAGATCTACTCCAGATTCATAGAGGCAGAAGAGTGTGCCCCTCCCCCCTTCAACATCTTCCCCACTGTGAGGAAACTGATCAAGTGGTCCGCCCTCTTCCTCTACAGGGTAACCAAGAACCAAAAGTACCTCATATGGGCAAAACCAAAACAGGTATGCAGCACTAATTTATTAAGTGTAGATCATTTATGATAAGGCTTCGTCGGTCTGTTATGGCTTAGTCGACTAAATGCAAAATTGATTGTAGAGCTTAGTGTGTGCTTGAATATGGAGCTTCAAAACTACGATTTTCAGAATTGTATTCAAATTTCAGCTTTCATAAAAGTTTTTTTTTCAGTTTGAACGAGCCTCGAACAGAAAATGAAATTTAAGATATGTAACTTGATTTGGGAGATTGAGTTCCGCAATTAGCTATACAGCTAGTTATTGATAAGAGAAGAATGCTTGAAATAAGCATCATTGAATGGCAATAATCCAGTTTGCTTATTTCTTCTCGCTTTTGAAAATATGATGTGGTCTGTACAAAGACTTTTTTCATGAAAATCTGAAAAGAAATGAAAAATTTTGGATCTGCTTTACAATTCCCCCGTTTCAAGAAAGGGGGGAGATTGTTAAGTAGATTAAGTTAGTTGATATTTCGACCAATCAGAACGCGGAAAAGTTAGAATTCTCAATAGAAAGCTCTAGAGCTCTTTCTCTGTAGTTCGTTAGGGGCGGAGATTCTTAATTAGACACCACAGAAACGCGGGGCGGGGGGGGGGGGGGTTGTAAAGCTGAGGGATATAAATTTTAAATACACTCAAAAAATATGACCCACTACTTTTTTCGTCTAGGAAGCGATACTCAAGCAGCGTGACGCTCTCGTGGCCCGTTTCCCCGCCCTCCTGGAAGAGATGAGGGAGAGATACCTGCGGAACATGGAGAAGGACGACGAGGAACAGTTGGTCACTCAGGATGACATTCAGAATCTGAAGAATGACATTTCCTCCTTGAGATACGAGTTGCTGGACGCACTGAGTAAAAACTCGGCCAGAGATAGAGTGCGGCAGGCAGAAGCAACTGCGGTTAGCCAGTATTTTGAAAACTCATTGAGGACACTAAGACATAGTTTCAAAAAAAATCGGCCAGATGCCGTGTAATTATCATAAATGTTGTTTTAAAATGTTATAAAAAGTAAATGAAATGAATCTTGCTTTTCCATTTTCAGAACGATAGTTATTTGAAATTTTGAAATTCAAAAGGCTGATTCGGCGAATTTAGATTTACTTTTTGTTTCAGACTCAGCCAGTGTCCACTACACGAGAGGACCGGTTCCTGGACGTGCAACAGCAGGACAGAGCCCTGATGACTAATCTGATGGGAGTTCTGGAAATCAACTCGCGAGTGCTCACTCGGCTCCTAAACGAGCACAACGGACTCAACATTGGGGGAGACATAGACATAGATACAATGTTCAGTTCATAAATAGTAGTGATCATTACGTTAATTAAAATGTCTGTCCTTCCGCCGTTCTTGATGATGGGGTTGGGGTGGGATGAAAAAAGGCTGTATTATGTGTATTAGAGCAGATAAATGAGCACTGTAATGGCTTTTTTCTACACCTTATGGATGATGATTAATATAAAGATAACCTGCTGATCAGACCGGATTAAGCTGGTGCTATCAGGGGCAGATCCAGGATTTTTTGAGGTTTTTCAAAGATTATCTGAAATTTTTCAACCAATTTGATATTCCGAGCTCTGACCTATTTTGCCATATTTTTCTGTCCCCTGTGTCAAAACTTTTGAAAAAACAGGCCATAAATTTTTGACTAAAACTGTGTTTTGCCGAGCGCTAACTCCCTTCAACATTAGAATTTTTTGGAGCGGCACTTTTAAAAAAGTTAGGGACAATCGGCCGGAAACGAAGGGCGAAATTGTCAAAATGGGACCTTTTAGGTAGACAGCGTTTTGCATCAGCAAACCCCACCAAATTCGCTACAGGCTAATAGTTAAATTCGATGGTCCAGAGCCGACTAATTTTTTTCTTGGCTTTCACCTCTTTGGTGGTTTGAGAGACTAAGTCGAAAAAGTTAAAACCAAGACTTATTTTGATATTGTAGCAGAAATAAATAAGTATCAAATAGTTAAATAAATAATGCCACGACAAAAAAAATTGTATGTCAACTGAAATCTTGCATAAATTGATAGAGAATGAGCAAGAGATTTGCAGCACCGAAAGACCGAAAGAAATGTGCAAAACCGGGCACCAATGACCTTGAGTGAAACTAACAATGACTAAATTTTCACACTAGATGCAAATATGGTGACAGAGCAATTTTTTTGGAACAAGAAGTTGAAAAAAATTCAATAACTGAAAGACATAATATACTGAAAGTTTTCAGAATAAGTGTTAACAGCTCATGCTAATGCAGGAAGTTTTATTGGAGGCAACTTTGAGTTACTTGTCGGCACGGTAAACCTGTTTTTTTCCCGTAAGGGTGGAATGTTGCGGCGAACTTTAGGGATTGCTTGGAGTGGTCAGCTGCGACTGATGTGGCTTTGTGGTCCGAGCTCGAAGGCATGTCTGGCTGATAAGTGTAGTGCGATATTCTAACGCAATGCTCCCAAGAGTTCTTGGGCTGGGAAACATGACGGATTGAGCTGCCATAGAAAGTCGTTTGCATTTTCCGTCGAAAAGATGATATCGAAGAATTTGAGCGAGAAGAAATGTTACCATCGTCACCGTCTGAACAGAGTTGCGAAGTTGACCGAAGAACTTCGAACTGAGGTTTCACGTTTGACGGCACGATGGGGACTGAGACTAGCCATTGAAAGTGCTCCTCAAAAAAAATGGGGATGATGTTTGGGCACGGTTTGCACGGAGACACTGAAGGCAAAGGGCCAGAAGTTTTTGTACGAGGACGAAGGCGCTAATGTCCCTTCACTAGAAGAGTGAAAGATTATGAGATCCATGGTAGAACCCGGAACTGAGGTCTCCGGCTGAATGCCCGGTGTGCTTGCTGAGAATTCGTCAAAAATACCACGCCTTTTGCCCTCCGATTGCAATTTAGTAGAGATTGAGGAAGACGCAGGAGGAGCACATGTTTTGGCTTGAGAATGCTTTCCTCTGAGACGACTGGTGGATTGGACGCCGGTCGTCCAAAGATAACGAGGTGGAGCTGGTGCATTTGTCGTTTCCGATCCTTAGAAACAGGCTGTTTATTGCGTTTTGGACTTGGCGAAGACAAAATCTGTTCCAATGACTTTTGGTTTCCAATCCGTATTGTTCCCGCCGACAAATTGCTGCGTAGAGTTGCTACTAAGACTTGCGAGTATTTTGAGGGTTTTCTCTCCTCCTGGTGCGACAAATTCATTTTGAGCCACTGATACTGATTGCCGGCCTTAAAGCACGATAATGTGGCGTGTCTGCGCTCGAAGACGAGGGTCCGCCAAAGTGAGTAAACGCACCCGGGCTGACTTGCCCTTCAGTAACAACGTCCAGGCAAGGACGGCTATCGTTTTAATCGCGATGCTGATCAGCAGTCAACATGCCCATTCCAGATACGTGTTATCAAAGGAAACATGGGGCAAATGACAATCAGCCGCTACAGACAGCTCAGAATTAGGTTTACCCCAAAACTGTATTTGCAAAGATGAATAACTGGCAACCATTTTTTTGTAGTTCTGATGTCTTTTATGATATTACGAATTGTGTTATGGACGTCACGTCGACAAACTGCGGACTAAGCGTAGCTGCTCCCAGCCGCCGCCTATAGTCCGAATAGTACGTTAAACCAGACCGGAACCGCGATAGTTGCCCACCGGTAAAAATGTTTCGACTTTTCAACAATATCATACAAAAGGTTTTGTTGTGTTGAGATTATATTTGGAAAGATAATTCACCTGTCGCCATTTTTTTATTAAGTTATGGGGGTTTAAAAATCGACATTCAGGCCAACTTGGGTCAATTAACGCGCGATATATTTCGCGCTTTGAACGCGTACGCGGAGATTTAATCCGTCTCAGAAATCGTTCCAATTTGGTTGAAGGAAGCTTATATGCTTAATTGATTTGTTACTAGGAGCAAAATCTATCGCTTTGTACTTTATATGGCTGGTGGGAGGATTATTTTTACAAAAAATTCTCAAACTTTAAAAAAATACATTTGATTTTTTTCCTTTTAATTTTTTTTGCAGTAAATTTTTTGATTTTATTTCTGCTCCATAGACTTTAAAAGGCAGTCGGAACATTCAAGGCATCGCCCTGATTTGAGCATTCTTGCTTTAAGTTAATGTTGTTTTGATTATTTAACAATGATTGTTGCAGCTGCTTACTCAGTTAGACTCCTCGTACTAAATATTGAAATAGAAAAAATTATATAGCGAATATACCTTTTTTAAATCCAGGTTCTTTTCTTGAAAAAAGTGATTTCAAACTTTTTATTTAGATTGAGGACTTCTTTTCACAAACGTTAAGCGCTAGTATCACAGCGAATCTCGATTATATTCGAATTTTTCTCATTTTATGCAGTTAGTAATTTGCTGAAGTTTAAATCTCCAAAAGACCAAATAAAATCACTAAATCTATTTGTCCAGACTTTCGAAAAAAGTGAAAAAAAAAACTTTTGAACTCGGGGTAATTTTTCTTCAGTTTTCAACTTATTTTATGAAGGGTTTAATATGTTCGACTGGTTTTCTTTCAGAATATCTTTATACACTAAGATACAACTTTGAAAGTTTTTTAGTATGATATATTGCTCCACACCGTACAGTTTTTGTTCTGAGTGTTTTTGCTTACAAAAGCAAAACTGAATTGGAAGCTCTTGTGTCCCAGCAGAAAAATATTCATTCTGTTTGTTTTGGTGAAGTATTATTGTGAGGGGGGAGGAACTACACCTTGAGGTTCCATGTTTTTACTTTATTCATACAACCAAATGGAAACAAAGCAGCCCGCATCTATAAAAAGTGAAAAGATTTAATTTATAATGGATTACAGTGATCCAAAAACTTATCAATAGAACCGATTCCTATATTGCACTCAGACAACAAAATGGAATAAAAAATCAATTATAATCCACTGTTTTCATCAAAAATAAAATTGATTAAAATCCATTTAAAATCAATTAACATTCTAAATCGCGTTGTAATAATTTTTGGAAGAGTTTCCGCAATGAGCAAATGAGTAATGCGAAAATTGAGAACTAAGGTAACATGGAAGCATTTGCAAAAGACAAAGGTGAGCGGAAAAAAATTTTTGAAATTAAACAACAAGTAACCAACTTCAGTTTCAAACTTAGAAAGCACTTTGAGTTAGGACCGATGTGGTTAACTCATAGAGTAATTTCGGATAGGGTACACCGTCTGCTCGTCACGCTATCTTATTTTCGGCCGGATAGATTCGTGCAACTTCTTAGTCTAATACCGATCCTAATCTTACTCTTATACTATCTAGTCTCAGGTTGTTTAACTAGTCTCTGCTAGGCTCAATAGATCTAGGGTATACTGGTTTATTGCGGCTGCTGAAGTTCCTTAGGAGAGGCAACTAAATTCTAAGTTAAATTCAAATCTCTCTGGTGCTGAAATTACAAGTAATTTCAGCACTTACAAATAAGTGGGTTGTTAGTTAGATGGATCATGATTGGTTAATATTAAATACTTTACAGTGGTAAAATATCTAATTTATCCAATCATAAAATGTAGTTTAGATCAGGTTCCACCCATCCGGGTTTTACAGAGTTTTTTAGAATAGTCTTTCTGCAATTCAAAGGATGGATGATGGACGTTGGTATTTGGCGAACATCATAATTCTTCTGGGTTCTCTTGTTAGAGAAGTTCCAGGTTCAATCGCTGTGTCTTCTCATGACAACGACTGGGTTTTCGCAACAAACTCAAATCTGATTTCAGAATGGTTGGCTATGACAGGTTTTCTGTTCCATGTAGAGAACTTCTTTTGGGTTGACCTTGTCTGGGAATGGCGTGGAGATTGTGCGTGGAGGGGATGCCTGGTTACTCGGATCTGTACGTATACTTGAACTTCGAGGTGGTCATTGTTCTAGTTCAATGAAGTCCTTTTCTGCGAAGTCAAGTCGTACTCTAAATCCTTTGAGTTGTGATTGTGGGCGGCATAATGATTGTGGTTGGCCATTCTTTTTCGAGTGTAGTGGGGTCATTTTGTCTTTGGATGTTCGTCTTTGGTGTTATATGCTGATCTATATACTGCAAGGTATAATTTACATTTTATAAAATTTTTATTAGTTTGGTGTTTTAATTATGATTTTGGTTAGTTGTTTTCACAAAAGCTTTTTGTTTTAGTTCGGTTATTTTGAAGAGTTACTCACCCTTGAGTACCTTTTATTAAAAATAGAAGTGTGGTCACAAAGCGTGGATGTAGCGCGGTGGGTTAGGCCGGCTATAGAGCATGCTCAGGACGTCCTCTCTGGTGGGTCAGGCCAGGAGTGGGAGTATGATTTCGTGCAGTTTTTGT